GATCACACCACTACACTCTAGCCTGGTGACAGAGTGAGACTCAATCTTTAAAAACAACGACAACAGTTCAACCATTGTGGAAGACAGTGTGGCGATTCCTCAAGGCCTTAGAAATAGAAATTCCATTTGACCCAGCAATCCCATTACTGGGTATATATCCAAAAGACTATAAATCGTTCTACTATAAGGACACATGTACACGAATGTTCATTGCAGCACTGTTTACAATAGCAAAGACCTGGAATCAACCCAAATGCCCATTGATAATAGACTGGATTGGAAAAATGTGGCACATATACACCATGGAATATTATGCAGCAATCAGAAATGATGAGTTCGTGTCGTTTGTAGGGACATGGATGAATCTGGAAAACATCATCCTCAGCAAACTGACACAAGAACAGAAAATGAAACACCGCATATTCTCACTCATAGGTGGGTGATGAAAAATGAGAACACATGGACACAGAAAGGGGAGTACTAAACACTGGGGTCTATTGGGGGGAAAAGGGGAGGGCCAGTGGGAGGGGGAGGTGGGGAGGGATAGCCTGGGGAGAAATGCCAAATGTGGGTGAAGGGGAGAAGAAAAGCAAAGCACACTGCCATGTGTGTACCTACGCAACTGTCTTGCATGCTCTGCTCATGTACCCCAAAACCTATAATCCAATAAAAAATTAAAAAAAAAAATAAAATAAAAAAAATAAAAAAAATAAATAAAAATAAATAAATAAAAACAACGACAACAACAGCTAGGGTTCATGGACTGTCAAGGGGTTGTTCCTCGGCTTTTGCTTGGGACCCTGAGGGGTTTACACTAACAGTAAAAACGAAAAAGATTTACCCTGTAGGACTGGAAGCCCAGCTTTGAAACACCACAGTCTGTGACTGCACCGAAGCCTGTGGCCGCACTGAAGCCTGTGGCTGCATCAAAGTGCTCCGGTATGGCAACTGCTCCTACCTAGTGGCTGCCAGCAGAAAACACAGAAGATAATGACATCCCCATTCCAGTTTCTTTTTCTTTTTTCTCTTTTTTTTGAGATGGAGTTTTGCTCTTGTTGCCCAGGCTCGAGTGCAGTGGCACAATCTCAGCTCACTGTAAACTCCGCCTCCCGGGTTCAAGTGATTCTCCTGCCTCAGCCTCCCAAGTAGCTGGGATTACAGGCACCCACCATGACTGACCCACCATGCCTGCCTGGCTAATTTTTTGTATTTTTAATAAAGATGGGGTTTCTCCACGTTGGCCAGGCTGGCCTCGAACTCCCGACCTAGGGTGATCTACCCGCCATTGGCCTTCCAAAGTGCAGGGATTACAGGCATGAGTCACCACACCTGGCCCTCACTCTAGTTTCAAATGCTCTCTAGTTTTTCAATACAATGTCTAGCACTCAATAAAAAATAGCCAAGGCCATGAGGACACAAGGTAGTATGCTTGAAAACCAACAGAAGCAAGGAAGAGTGGCACTGATGTCTTAAATACAACATCAAAAGCACAGTTGAAGATCAGTCAGGGCCACCTAGTGAGACCTGGAAAAGGAGGAAAGGGAAAAAGCAAGAAAATAAAAAAATTGAGCATCAGCTGAATTTAAACCTTTGGCACAGCAAAAGATACAATCAAGGAAGGGGAAGACAGCCCCAGAATGGGAGAAAAGATTTATAAATCTTATGTCTAATAACCGATATATCCAGAAGAACTCTTACAACTCAATATTAAAAGACATCCAACTTAAAAATGGGAAAAGAACATGAAGAAACATTTCTCCAAAGATAATATTTTAATGTCCAATAAGCACATTATAAAGCATTCAACATCGTCAGTCACTCGGAAAATGCAAATTAATCCAAAACGCGATGTCTCTTTCCACCCACTAGAATAACTACAACCAAGCAGACGCGTAACACCAAGTGCTGGAGAGGACGTGGAGACCAGAGCCCTCACACACTGCCAGTGGGAATGTAAAATGGTACAGCCACTTTTTTGGAAGATAGTATGACAGTTTCTCAAAATGTTAAAAATAAAATCGCCTTCTCTAGCAGAACTGCAAGGGGCTCAGGACAAAAATAATAATAAAATGAAATAAAGTCAAATTTCCTTAAAGTCAGTAACTTTACTTCTAGGTATCTAACCAGGAACAATGAAAATGTATGTTCACGCAAAGACTTGTGGGTGAATGTTCACAACACCACTCACAAGAACCAAAAAGTGGAGACAAGCCAAATGCCCATCAACTGACGAAGGAATTCAAATGTGGGGAGTACAAAGGAATACTATTCAGCAATCAAAAATGAGTTCTGAGGCATGCTACCACAGTGATCAACCTCAGCAACGCAAGGCTTCGGGAAAGAAGCCGGATGCAAAAGAACACACGTCGCATGATTTTGTTTATATGAAAGGTCCAGAACAGCCTAATACAGGGATAGAAAGCAGCTTACTGGTTGACTAGGGCTGGGAATGAGACTGAAAAGTGACTCTGATGGGCACGAGTTTCTTTCTGGGATGATGAAATGTCCTTAAGCTAGATTTTGGTGATTGTTACATAATTCTGTAAATATACTAAATATACTAAAAATCATTGAATTGGACTAACCGCAGTGGCTCACACCTGTAATCCCAACACTTTGTGAGGCCACGGCAAGAAGATCACTTGAGCCAGGAGTTCAAGAACAGCCTGGGAAACATAAAGAGACTCTATCTCTACAAATAATATAAACACTTAAACAGGTGTGGTGGCATAAGCCTGTAGTCTCAGGTACTCAGGGAGCTGAGGCAGGAGCATCACCTGATCCCAAAAGGTTGAGGCTGCCGTGAGCCATGATGGCACCACTGCATTCCAGCCTTGGTATCAGAGTGATAACCCTGTCTCTCTCTCTCTCTCTCTCTCTCACACACACACACACACATACACATGAACACACACAATCATTGTACACTTAAAATGGGTAGATTTTAGTTTTTAAATTACACCTCTATAAAGCTGTTAATTTTTAAATTATTTTTAAGTTTTTTTTTTTTTTTTTTAAGACAGAGTTTTGCTGTTATTGCCTAGGCTGGAGTGCAATGATGCAATCTCAGCTCACCACAACCTCCACCTCTCAGGTTCAAGTGATTTTCCTGCCTCAGCCTCCCAAGTAGCTGGGATTCCAGGCTCCCGCTATGATGCCTGGCTAATTTTTTGTATTTTTAGTACAGATGGGGTTTCATTATGTTGTTTAGGCTGGTCTGAAAGTTGTGACCTCAGGTGATCCACCCATCTCGGCCTCCCAAAGTGCTAGGATTACAGACAAGAGCCAGGCAGTTTTTTAAGTTCTAAAATTATACTATTTACCCCTAGCACCAAGATTGTAGTCTCAAAATACCATTGCCCAATGAAAGGAAACAAGGCTTCCTGGACAAAATGCTGATTCCAGGTCTAGGCCAGAAATATGTAAGGAGCCTGGAACATATTATCACTCTGGATACCAAAGAATCTATAAAGATTATTAGGATGATTTCAACAGGTCCAAAGGGCCAATCTGAAGGGCCTCCTTCTAACCAAAGATAGGACATTTTGTACATTAGTAAGGATAATAGTTGCAGTGAATTGAGATATATCAGATATGTTTGAATATCTGCATTCATAAGGATCCTTTTGAAAAAATAAAAGTGGGCTGGCACAGCTCCTCATGCCTGTAATTTCAACACTCTGGGAGGCTGAGTTACAAGGATCATTTCATCCAGGAGTTCAAGACCAGCCTGTGCAACACAGGGGACTTTGTCTCAACAAAAGATTTTTTAAATTACTCAGGTTTGAGGGCCCGTGTCTTTTGTCTCAGCTACTCAGGAGGCTGAGATGGGAGGGTCACCTGAGCCTAGAAGTTTGAGGCTATAGTGGCATGACTGCTTGTCTGCATACCAACCTGGGCAACAAAGCTAGACCCTCCCTGTCTAAATAAATTAATTAATAGAAGTGGTCACCATTGAAGGATATAAATGAAACAGCCCATGATTTTGAAAAATGGTCAACAGAAGAAATCAAGCCATGAACTGGTGTTTTCTATATAACTTGTACAAGTGAGTAACAGTTCATAAGAAGCAGCATCTCCTTTTTATATTTACTTTTTTTTTTTCATGCACGGCCCTTCTTAGGGTAGCAGTATCTCTTTCTGGAAGTGTGGCAGCTCATAAACGAAGAAGGAATGATACAACAATGCCTTCACTGTTCAATCCGTAATTGATCAATGGCCATTAACATCACCGATTAAAAAAAAAAAAGATCTCCAGAGAGTGCACACCTCCTCCCAGAAGAAACTAGCGCAGCCTTTTTGCCCTGAATCAAGTCCAGCCTGAATCTCACCAAGTCTTGAGATTAAACTACTAATTTATCAAAACTAGAACAAAGTGAAGAGCAAGTTAACCAACATCACAAGATACAATTAGCAAAATTCACAGTATGAAAACCAGCATAATGAGAATACACTTAGCATAATTCAAACTATGGGGAAATGGCCTGATTTATTCAATAAATGGACTGCAAGGGACAGCACAGAGATCAAAGTGGGAAGCTGTCAGGATCAAAAAAACCCGAAGAGGTGAATCACACAATCCCAAAGAGAGACTTTATTTGGATCCTGATTCAAACAATAAATACATGAAACGACTGGAAATTTGGAGCTAGAAGGAGAGTTGACAGTGATAAAGAGCAATGGTGTGAGATGGTTGGTTGATGATGGTATTGGGATTATATTTTTTAATGAGTTCTTGTCTCCAGGCATGGTGGTTCACACCTATAATCTCAGTAGTGTGGGAGGTCAAGGTGGGAAGATCCTTTGAATCCAGGAATTGTAGACCAGCCCAGGCAACATAGCAAGACCCTGTCTCTACTAAAATACAAATAAGAAGATTAGCTGGGCATGGTGAGAGTCTGTAGTTGCAGCTACTCAGGAAGTTGAGGCAGGAGAGGCCACAGTGAACCAAGATCATGCCACTGAACTCCAGCCTGGGTGACAGAGAACAAACAAGAATTGTATCTTTTACAGACATCCACCAAGACGGTCAGGGAGGAAATTCTATGATGTGTGGGATTTTTTATAAAATCACGAGAGGAAGAGGAGAAGCATGTAGGAGTATACATGTCACGTGATCGGCCGTCAGATAGCAAATACCTGCATCTGCTGCTGAGTAGGTGGAAGCTCACTACACTAGCCTCTTGTTCCAAAAAGCTCTAGAATAGAAAGTTTGTCTAAAAATCCACTTCAGGGATTTGTAACAAGCATTGAATAAGATCATGTATACAGAGTATTTTCTCACCACGCCTTGCAGGTAGTCAGCACATAAACATAGTTTTTAGTTTTGTATAGTCCCCGTCCATGAATCACACCCAGAAAAGGTATGTTGTTCACACCAAGAGCTCTGGCCCGCGGACCTTTGTCCACTTGGTGGTAATTCATTGGACTCTGAGGTTTAGAATGAGGAAATACCAGCCTTCAAAGCCCCAGGCCTGCTATGAAATAGCAAAGCCAATGGTCCCAGATGCCTTCATAGCACACCTAGTAAGTAGGACACTTTTCACTCACCTTGTGGGCACACTTGAGTCCATGCACTCATTTTTCATTCATTTCTTATATGCCGTGTATTGGGTACTCGGGATCCATAATACAGTGGACCCACAATTGACTGGAAGCATCGCTTTCAAAGCATCATTTCAGGATGAGTATTTTGTGTCAAGTGGATTCAAGGAACAGTGCGAAGGATCCATGGCCTCAGTCACCATGAAGAGCCTCCCAAGAGCCAACCTTCCTGGGCACATGTAAGTGAGTGGAGACATGGAACTCACCCTTACAAGGCCTAGAACCTGACAGATCATACAAGACAGAAGCCCAGATAACTAAGAAGGGGATGCTGAAGGTGAGAGGTGGGCCCCAAAGGATTCTGTGAAAATGCTTTGTGTTTGTGGATTTCTCACGCAGAATGAAACCTTTGTTTTTATTCACAGGTTAGACACACTCTCTATATAGAATCTATGAAGGGACATTGCTGAATTTTTTGAGGCCTATAGTGAAAAATGGATTATCTCAGGCAGCTCAGGATGAATAATGCAGTCACCAAGAGGGGCAGGGTGGCCACAGGTGGCCAGCAGCAGGAATGGGCATTGTGAGCCATTGGATGGGGTTGTGAGAAGTGGCATTGTGAGTCACTGGCCTGACTTTGTTGTTTCCTGGCAATCAGGTGACATAGGAGGCTTTGTGGGGGACAGGCATCAGCCAGGACCAGCAGCCTTCAGTCGGAAGCTGGTAGTGGGAGGAGGAGGAGCTCCAACTACTCTCACGGAAGTGTTTGTGCCCTTGGCTCTTGCTCTGTTGGTTTTTTTCTTTGATTTATTTTATTTTGTCTGTTTCTTCTTTTGTGTGTGTGTGTGTGTGTGTGTGTGTGTTGCTTTGTTTTGTTTTCTTCTTTTTTCTTTTTAGATTTTGTGTGTTGCTTTGTTTTGAAAGTCCCCTTGTAGATCACCCATGGGGAATTGCCTAGGCCCCAGCGCTGGCGTCAGTTGTGCCTGCTGCGAGCCTTGTGGCCAGTCTGTGGCACCTATAGAAAGAGCATCTACCACTGCAGAGACTTCTGTGTTACATCCCAGAGTGATGGAGGTCCAACACGTGCAGTCCATCAAGGCAAAGAGGCACAAAGATAAAGAAGCCACGGGCACCATTTGCTCTCTTGCACATCTCTGGCCACCACCTCCTTTTCATCCCCTCACCCCAGAGACATCTTCAGCTTCCAGCTCCCTCCTGCCTATAGTCAGCTTTCCCGGGGCTGGGCATGGGGGACAAAGGCTAGTCCTGCCTCTTGTCTTCGTTGTTGAGCCTTCTTGCTTGAGGCCTTTTTGGTCTAGTCTTTCCCTTTCCCTGGTGAAAATTCAGATACTCCAGTTTTGGAGTCTCCATCCCATTCTCTAGCCTTGGCTGTCCAGCTACTATGGCATCTCAGTGAAGGAGCCGGTTAAAGGCCCAATGATTTCTTTTCTCCTATTCGATAGAGAAGCTAATAATTGAGATAATTCAGACTCAAATATTTGGAGACTTGTTAAATTTGAAATAGAGTTTGCCATGGAAGAGATTATATGGTGTTCTTAATAGATGGTTTGAAGTCACCTTGACAGCAGCAGCTTTGTCTTCCAATTGTAATTTGAAAACCGAAGGAAAAATTGAGGGACGTGCTTAAAATGACTGCAAAAGGTATGAAATGTTACTGCCTGAGCTGTAAAAAAGCTGTTTTTGTTGTGGTTTTACCCAAAAGTGTAGCCGTGGAGCTCTGATTACTTCAACATTCCCACTTTGACATGAACGTCTCTTCAGCCCTACTCCAGTAACTTCACGGGCTTAGTTTACCTCCTTGTTCTGAAAGACAGGTAGAGCTAGCTCATGGTTACAGGTTCCAAAAGAGATGAAATGACTTTAGACTTGAATTTGGAAGGTAAAGACTTGGAGTTAGAAGGCCAGACCCTGCCTGTGGAAAAGAGTTTGTTTTCATGGCTCCCCTTCCTACAGGATGGAAAAGGGGAGGAGAGAGGAAACATTTCATGTTTTTGCTTATGGTCAAATTGAAGACAAAAACTAACACTTGTAAGACAGGAGAGGAGCATTTAGGTACAAAATCAGTCAAACATTTGTGTATCACTACATTCATTGAGCAAATGGAAGCTACCAGACTCAGAAAAGCAGAGATGCTAATGGAACTGACATTAGTAACCAGGGAATTCTACTGAGTTCAGTGCTCAGGGTGACTTTTAATAACACCCACCCTCCCCTCCACACACACACTTTTCTCAGGACTGGAAAGCTCAGGCAGCCCAGGATGAATAATGCAGTCACACAGAGGGGAAGAAGCAGGGATCGGCATTGTGAGCACCTGGGTGGGACTGTGGGGTGGGGCATTGTGAGCACCTGGGTGGGGGGGGTGGGGCATTGTGAGCACCTGGGTGGGGGGGTGGGGCATTGTGAGCACCTGGGTGGGGGGGTGGGGCATTTTGAGCACCTGGGTGGGGGGGTGGGGCATTGTGAGCACCTGGGTGGGGGGGGTGGGGCATTGTGAGCCACTGGGTAGAGCAGGTACTTACTGTAAACCCTGCCTATAGGTAAAAAGACCTTAATGTTATCATACTTCAATTGTCCCACACCTTCCTTCTGAACCATCCCTTCCCTATGGTATACATGCCCTCGGTCTGAGGGGCATGAGGGGTAATGGCACAGGGATCCACCATCTTGTCTTGCCAGCACTCAAGACACAGACATGGCTTCTATTTCTCAGTTATTATTAAATGTTTCTTTCTAAGAAAAAAAAAAGCTGTTACTTCTACATAAAGGAGAAGTATGGAGCTGTAAAAAAGAGTAAGATGTCTTTTTATTGCTATGGAGTGATTCCCAAGATAGGATACGCAGAAAAGCAAAGAGAACATGCAGTAATATACCATAACCATCGTTTCTTGCTCTGGTATTTAATGATTACTTTTCCCAGGAGACCAGTTTTTCCTGCCTATGTCACAGCAAACATCTAAGCCTTGCTTTTTGATTGGTCAGTATCTTTTGGGAATTGGGAATCAGGTATTGTTAAGTCTTGGCATTGTCTAAGATGAAGGATATCTGGTGCGACTCCCTCACTGCGCTATTTGAACATAGTTGTTTCTCTGAGATGGTCTCAGAATCTTCAGTCCCACACTCCATATGCCACACACAGCAAGCTCCCTGAGTTACTCACAGTCTCCAGCCACCAGGGTGCTGAGTTTTACTCTGTCTCCCTCCAGCTCCTCCTGAGGACAGTGAGACATTTACTTCTGTGGATGATTACAAGAACCCCTTTTTTTGTCTTCTAAAGAATGCCCTGTCAGGTGGGGATCGGGGAGGGAGAGCATCTGGATAAATAGCTAATGGATGCGGGGATTAAACCTAGGTGATGGGTTGATACATGCAGCAAAGCAGCATAGCACGTGTTTACCTGTGTAATAAACCTGCACGGTCCTGCACATGCATCCTGGAACTTAAACTTCAAAAGAAAACAAAATGTAAAAAGAATGATTTCTTTCCTGATTTCTTGCCTTCTGTTAATTGTGATAATCTGAGAAGGCACATTATGTAGAACATGTCTAATCCTCTTGGTGGGGGTGAAATTCAGGGGGAGTGTCTTCCCATCGGATAGGTGATACATTAGAATGTTTCTAAATGACAGCATCCATCATCAACTGTAACGCAGAGGAATTTTCCTCAACATCAGTTTTCCTCTTCGGTTTAGGCATTGTGTATTTGCCAGCGTCAATCAACTTCATAGATAAATTCTGTGGGCAAAGGGCTTGTCTTTTCCACAGCTGTCCTGTATTCTAGCATGTTTGATTCTTGGCCTTTGCCTCAACCATTGTCTTACAACTAGTTTCCTGAGGTCTTCAAGAGACTAACAGATCTGTGGGTGGGGCGGGGGGTGAGAGGAATTAATCTGATCCTCATAGCGTCTTCTTTCGTCTAATTGCAGCGTTCGTCAGTTTCTGATTGTTGTATGTACCCTGAAGCAGCTCACCTGCTGAGGAGCAAACTTGCTGATTTTAATATATAGAAACCTGATCCTGGGTTCCAGTTAAAGAACATGGGGGTCTAGTGAGAGCAGGTAATTTTGCAAGTGTATAACTCTGATCAGAGGGGCCGTATGAATGCATGTGAACCCTGAGGACCAGCCGGGGGATGTTGTGTGAGCCGACGTGGCTTCAGCTGGAGTAGAAGTGAGTGCACCTCTCTCTGACTGACTCTGATGTTGGTGGTTCTGAAGAGTGGACTCTGGAAAATCGCAACAGTGAAGAAGACACCTTTTCAGGTAGGCAACAAGATTACAGGTGGAATCTAATAAAGCAGGTTCCCAGGAGCCTTCAGCTTCTGCCTGCTGCTTGGGAGGCTGAGCGAGCATGTAGAAAGAGAAGAAAAAGAAAACATGGACGAAGTTTGTTCTTGTCAGAGTTTAATGTCATAGTGGTGAGAAGTGTGAGTACCCTGTCTGTGATCACCTCTTCTTGCTTTATTATTTACAGATGGTCTTTCTGAGGACACCTCTTTTCTGCCTCTGCCACTGCAAAATGTTAAAGCCTTTGGTTTAGGACACAGTTCTGTCATGGCAGTTACTTAATCCTGGAGACAACAAGTCTTCCACAGTGTGCCCAGAGGCTTGGGAGAAACTGACACTCACCTTCTGAACTCTTAGGTTTCATGGCAGCACATTCATTTGTCTGTCCTTGCTGTTTACGTCTGATATCAAGGGCTGTCTCTGGGCATGGGGGACAGGATGAAGATTCGCTCTGGGCTCATTGCAAAGCTCCAGTGTTTTGTAAACGGAGGAAGAAGCAGAACCTTGAGCACACTGCTCAATTTCATTATTTAAGGAGAATATGGAGTTTTCCCATCATTTGTTAAAGAGGCCTTCCTTTTCACATTGTATATTCTCAGCACCTTTGTTGAAGATCAGTTGACTGTGTATGCATGCATTGAATTTTGGGCTGTATTCCATAGCTTCGATACTTACGGGTGCCCCCATGCTAGGACCCTGCTGTCTGAATTTCTGTATCGTTTCCTCTTGTAGATTTCAATCTCGTGAACGCATAGCTTCCAGCGCTATTCTTTTTCAACATTATTATGATTATTTGAGACATATAAGAATTCATCAAAATGTTGGGTTATCTTTTCCATTTCTGCACAGATCGCTGTTACCAGTTTGATAGTTGTTGTGCCTCTTTGGATCCTTTTGTAGTATTGTGTATTATTCAGGTTTTGTCCTCCTGTCTGTGAATAGGAGATGCCTTTTCATTTATTTGTACCTCCTCTACTTCCCTTCAGTCACATTCTGTCCTTATCAGGTTATGAGTATTTCATCTCATTGGCTAGATTTATTTCTGAGTATCTAATGATTTCAGAGGTTATGATCCATGGGATTACATTTGTAATCTTACTATTGGATTGTTGATATTGATCGCATATTGACGCAACTGCCGTTTGAGTGTTAACCTTGTACTCTGCAATTTTGATGAATTTATTAGCATGAATAGCCTTCTTGTAGACAATCTCAGATTTTCCATATGCAGAATGTGAAAGAAGCTCTCAGCGTCATACCTCTCTTCTCCGGTATATTGTTACTGTGAAGGTCTGTTCATATTCACCTACTGAATGATGCCCTTCCAATTGGTCGTTCAGGAAATACTTCGCCTTCTTGTTCCATCATTTATAGTTTTAATTCTTTGTTCATGCTCTTGTATGTTTATTATTTTTCCTTAGAGTAAAATGCAGTATTTCTGATTAGATTCTCCATACCTGACTTCCCTCTTCGTGTTGACTGGAAGAATATAGGGACGTCTCTTGTGCTTCCGTCTTTCCACCATAAATTATCTTTTAAACACTAGACTTCAGAATGTGTAGTAAATCTGGGATGTGGAAATGTGAAAGAAAATGCACAAGAGAGAAACCTAGTGTTGCTATTGGCATGGCTTCCCTCCTTTCATCGACCTAAATGTATGTTTAGTTCACAATATTTGAGAGCGTGTTGCTTCTACTCATGTCACAAGTTTTCTTAAATTCATACTGATAATATCTGTGTCTAGGCCAGTTTACCTACCAAAACACAGTTTTAAACATACTTTTGTGGATTATTCAAAATTCCCTATGTACAGAGATATGAATAATATGCTTTCACCCAACCTGTTACCCTCCTCAGAAGGAAGGGAGGCACGAATCAGGTCTCCTGTCACACTATCCCGAGCACTTTGCCAAGGCTAAGCTATAGTCACCTCCATAATTTGGCCACAGCCTCAGTTAGAGCCACTTTTTTTTTTTTTTAAGAGAAAGAAATCATACAGGACATGATATCACATAACCTTCCATTATGGTAGATAATGCTCCCCTGTGTTTATTCCATTTTACCAGGTCTCTGTTTATCTTTCATCAGGTCACTGGCTCATTTTGTAGACAACATGCACTTAAATTGTTTCTTTTCTTCAGAAGCAGCTACTGTGTGGAATCAGATGTCACCAAAAGCATTTTTGACACTCGTATCTCATTCTTTTGTCCCACGGTTAGAGTTAAGTTGAAGTGACTATTTTTGGACAGAGCAGTTGTGCATTATGGTGTCACCCCTGACTTGGGAGCTTATCTCTTGGTTTTGCATGCAGCTCTGGAACGTGTTAAGCTTTGAGATATCAAGCAAGTCAGTTGTTTTTTAATTTACCATTCTGAAGATCTACAATACAGTTTATTTTAATAAACCCATTCAATCCTCACTACAGAGCTCACCTAAACAGTGATTGTTTACTATTCACACACTCCTTGGATGGAGAAACTGAAGGGCTAATGAATGTGCCCATGCTTCTAAGCCCCTAAAGGAAGGAGGCAAGATGTGACCTAGGGATATAGCTTTAAAGCTGAAACGATAATGAACTGTTGAACTGCAGTTATTACCCTGAGGAGGATGGCTCTCAAGCCTCCCATCACAGGTAGCCATAGGTTGGTTCCCTCGCACATGCTAGTCCTAGGTTTACATGAGTCTATGGAGATCCCAAACACTGTCTATGATTCCAAGATGGCCGCAGCAGTCACGTGGCTTAGGGCAGACAACAGTGACTGTAACTGCAGGATATGGCACAGCCTCTGGTGTGAATACTGCAGAGCGGCCCCAGATGCCTCTGACAACAGGGTCAAATGCAAGTTCTGAATTTTAGGAAGCAGTACTTGGAAATATTGAGAAACTCCTTTCAGTGCTGGGGACATTCCTCAGCAGTTGGCCCCAGACAAATAAGATGAGATATTTTTGAGATAGTTGAGAACTCTTACCACCACAAGACCTAGAAATGATCAAATCCTGCAAACTACATTCACTAGACACAGTGCCAATTAAGACAGCAAAAAAGCATTGGGTTACTAGTTCACCACACTCACTGCAGCTCCGCACTGCAGTTAAAACACATCAGCATCCAGCCCGTGTCTCCCTCCCTGAGATAAACTATGCTCAATGGACTGGCAAGTACAAAGATAGGTCTGCTCCATGGGCAATTACTGCACATGCATGACGAAGGAAAGGGGGACTGAGGAAGGAACTGTCGTGTGATTAACACCGGTTGTTTTATAGAATATAATTTCAATATTTCCAATTCTTCCATCATCGACTATAACAAACATTTAGTACATAACTACAATAGACTGTTTCGCCTAGAATTGAATCCATCGGTCTGTTCAACTTAGCTTTTATTCAAGGATTGAAAATTCTAAAAAATAGAACTGCAGTGACAGCCATTTCCCTTTATGTGAATCCATAAATGGAAAAATATTCTTGGGACATAAATTATATAAATAAATATTATTGTTATTTCTGTCTGACACAATAAATCCCTAGTGTCCTCTTCTAAAAAATAAACCCCACCATGCTTACACATTGCAAACCAAAAAGTTATCTAAATCAATCAATTTAGAAGTTTAATTTGCCAAGGTTAAGGACATACGGGTGACACAGCCCCAGGAGGTCCTGAGTGCATATGTCCAAGGTGATTGGGCTACAATTTGGTTTTTACATGCTTTAGGGAGACATAAGACATCAATTAATACATGCAAAGATGTAAATTTCTTCCATAAATTTACCAAAGATGTAAATTTCTTCCGTTTAGGAAGACAGGACAACAGAAAGTGGAAGAAGATGCGGGCTCCAGGTCATAAGAAGGATTTCAAGAATTTCTGATTGTCAATTGGTTGAAAGAGTTTAAAAATCTGGAATCAATAGAAGAAAGTATCTGGGTTCAGATAAGGGGCTGGGTAGACCTAGGGTTTTATTACGCATCTTTAAAACTGATGCTAAATCTAGCACCAGCGTGATTGTCCTAGAGAACTGACGTAGTCTTGAATATGCTGTTGGTTTAAAAGAGCTTCAAAACGTGAGAGGCAGAAAGGCCCTCTTCCATTGACCCTTAGTGTGCCTTTGACTTTTTGTTATTGGTTGACTCTTTTGTGCTGCTGCCTGATGCCTCTAGTATGAGGTGGAGACCTCCATGTCTCATCTGCTTCCTGCTGCCCTCCCTTGCCAGCCCTCTTCCACCCAGGGGAATGGCCCAGCAGCAACTCAGTCTGTGCTTGATAATCACCCCCCTCCATACCCCACATCCAGCAAAGCTCTTTGAGTAATTCACAGCCAGGGTGCTGAGCTTTCCTCTGTTTCCTTTCAGTGTCTTCAAATGACCAGGCAAGAGGACAGTCGGACTCAGATCCTGGGACGAGGAAGAAGACCTGGAAAAGGAAGGGCTCTATGTAATACTTCTTTTCTTTGTCTTCTAAAGAAATTTTGCTTTGTGATTTCTTCTCAATTAATTTTGATAGGAAAATCTGAAAATGTACATTATGTACAGCATATGCAATTCTCTGTGGGTTTTCAGTTCAGTGGGAGTGTCTTCCCAACTAACACGCAATACACTGGGAGGTTTTAAATGACAGCATCCATTATCGGCTGTAATGCAGAGGCGCTGTCCTCAACACGTTTTCCTCCTTGGATTAAGCACTGTGTGTTTGCCCATTAAATCTACTTTAAAGGTGAATTCTGTGAATCAAGACCTTATTTTTCCAAAACGTCCTCATGGTTTTGGGGATGTTGACCTATGGCTCAGCCGCTGTGTCACTTCTGGTTTTCTACCCTTGCCAAGGGAATAACAGAGCTATGTGAGGTGCACCGCAGAGTCTCAGCCTCATAATGTTTTCTTTTGTTTAATTGCAGAGAACGTCTCAGGAAAGGGTGACAAGTAAGCACCATGAAGTAACTCTCATCGTGGGTGACCAACCTGCCACTTGAGTGTATAGAAACCTGATTCAGGGATCCCGCTGGGAAGGAGGATTGGGGGTCTCCTGAGAGAGTGATTTAGCCAATATAGAACTCCAGCCAGAGAGGCTGTAGGAAGGTTTATCAACTCAGAACAAAGACCAGGGAATGATGTGTGAGGCCGCGTGGCTTCAGCTGGAGGAAGAGGAGTGGGTGAGTCACTATTCCTAATGACTTGTCCAGTAATCGTTTCTAAAGGCTGGATTCTTAGAGCATCTTCAGAATGAATGAAGAAGAACCCCAAGGCAAAGATCAGAGATTAGAAGGGGAGGCCTGGTCTGTGGTTTCTCCTGGCCAGTTACAGCACATGGACAATGAGAAAGCGAGACTTCACGATCTAGGAAGCTGAAGCAGTAACTTCCGCTATACAGCTCAGACCACAGTCACAGCTCTCTCAAGGCTCAAGTGTCTGGGGGTTCCCAACAGCGTTTACATTTTATCTACTTTCACAATAGCACGTTACACAGCGGCATAATGTGTCTCAGGTCTGTGTCCCTGGTCTTGCCTACTTGTGATATCACATGTTACAGTGTCACAGTTGAGTCTGGCTCTTGTGTGATTTGCCAGTCCTGACCACAGGCAGTAAGAAAGGCTTTCCTTGGCAGGGCTGATGGGAGACACCTCCCCCCACACCAGGCGTGGTGCACGGCCAGTGCATAGGCAGGCCCTGGCTGAGCACAAAAGCCACATGCGTGGCCTGCAGGATGGTCTCTAGGCTTGTTGACTGAGTGGCCACGCAGCAGTGGCTGCCTTTTAATAGATCTTACGCAATGAGCTGAGCAAGGTCCTCGGGTGAGGTGTGAGCTCCTGAGAATACTTGAGCAAGTGGATCAGAACTGGGGTATCGGTGCCTCCTCTTTGTTCACTAGAGCTTTCTCTCCAGCAAGCTCAGAGACTGCTCGCTCATCAACCTCCATGGTCCTGTGGCGGCTGATTTTATGTCGGCCATCCTGGCTGGCCATGGCATGCCCGGATTGCACACTGTTCCACGTGTGTCCGTGAGGGCATTTCCAGGTGCATTTGGCATGTGAGGCAGTGGGCAAGGCACACAGCCTCCCCAGTGTGACGGGCATCACCCAATCCACTGAGGGACTGAGTGGAACAAAGGCTGGGGAAGGAGAACTCACTTCCCTTTTCCCCGTGTCACTGCTGGAGCTGGACATCTCATTTTCCCGTGCCCTCAGACTGCCATTTCCACATCCGCCCCTCTGGTTCTCAGGCCTGGGGAGGGAGGTGTGAAGGTGCCGGATGGACAGACACCAGTCAGAGCAGCACGGGCCTCAGCGGGGGTCTAGGGCCTCCAGACCTCTGGTCATGCCCAAGAAACAGCAAGGGAGATGGGATCTTTATTTGTATTTCTTATTATTTTTTTGAGACAGAGTTTCGCTTGTCACCCAGGCTGGAGTGCAATGGCACGATCTCTGCTCACTGCAACCCCCACCCCCTGAATTCAAGCAATTCTCCTGCCTCAGCCTCCTGAGTAGCTGGGACTACAGGTGCACGCCACCATGCCTGGCTAATTTTTGTATTTTTAGCAGAGACAGGTTTTTTGTGGGTTTTTTTTTTTTTGAGACAGTCTTACTCTGTTGCCAGGCTGGAGTGCAGTAAAGATGGGGTTTCACCATGCTGGCCAGGATGGTCTCAATCTCCTGACCTCATGATCCACCTGCCTTGGCCTCCCAAAGTGCTGGGATTACAGGCATGAGCTGCCACACCTGGCCGGGTTTCACCATGTTGGCCAGGCTGGTCTCAAACTCCTACCCTCAGGGGGGGATCCACTTGCCTCGGCCTCCCAAGTGGTGGGATTACAGGCATGAGCCACCGTGCCCAGCCGGGTTTTACCATGTTGGCCCAGCTCATCTCAAACTCCTAAACTCAGGGGATCCACCCGACTCAGCTTCCCACGTGCTGGGATTACAGGCATGAGCCGCTGCACTGGGCCGAGATGGGAATCTTCTTTTTTTTTTTCCCCACACCCTGCCCCTGGATGGGGATCTTTACATGCCTATTCCCTCCATGGCCTGGGAGAGAGAGAACCTCCCTGTGGGCAGATCATCGATCTCTCTGGGGATACCCTGGTGTCACAGCCAGGCCCAGAGTCCTCCAGCCTTGTCTGAATCTTCCATCGTGGTCTTTCTCTGCCTACACAGAAGGGCATTTCCCTTGGCCCAGGTGTAGTCTTCCATGCCAGGAGCTCGTTGCCAGGAACTGAAGAGTTTCCCAAAGGCTGACTCGGGGGCCAAGAGAAGACCATGTCCCCAACAGCCTGGAGGTGGTGATGGAACACACTCACCCGTCTCACCCCGTGACTGCCAGGGGCTCCATTTTGTCTCCCCTTCCAGTTCATACGTTGCAGTCCTGACCTCTAGTTATCTCAGGAGGTGACTGTGTGTGGAGGCAGGTTCTTTACAGAGGTGATTAAGTTAAATGACCTCATGGTCAATGGAGTGACCCTAATCCCACTCTCTAAGTGGTGTCTTTATCAGAAGAATGTGAAAATAGACTGTTAAATCAAGTTTAGCCTAAAACTACCTCCTTACGTATTTTAAGTTCAGCCTAAAGGTTTCTCTATACGTTGTAAACTATAACCTAAATGGAATTGTAAACAGACTCTTAGCCTACTTTTGTGCCAAGCACCGAGGTTTTTTTTGTTATTTTTTAATTTTTTTTTTTTAAAGATGGGGTTTCACCATGTTGGTCAGGCTGGTCTTGAACTCCCAACCTCAGGTGATCCGCCCACCTCGGCCTCCAAAGTGCTTGGATTACAGGTGTGAGCCACCACGCCCAGCCACCAATCACTGAGTTTTGGCCAGTTAAATGTGGCCCACTGTTCAAACTGTGCTGAAATGAGGCAAAAGCCGAGTCACAGCCAATCTGGCTGTTTCTGTCCCTCACTTGCTTTCTGTGGTCACTTTTCTTTTGCTGTCCCTAAAGCTTCTTTCACCACAGGCCTGCCCTGGAGTTGCTGAGTCTACTCTGGCTCCGGAGGCTGCCAATTTATGAGTTGTTCTTTGTTCAATTAAAAGAAAAATGTCAGCCAAATTACATTTAAAAGAGTTGAACAAGACACGCAGAGCTGTTTTTTTTCCCACACAACAGACACACAGGAAAACTCACAGAGAAACACAGAAAGGCACATGTGACACTCGAAGACAGATCCACACAAAAACCATGCAGCAAAGCCTTTTGCCACACGTGCGCACACACACACACACACACACGCACACAGGCACCCATCCCTTTAAACCATAGGCTTGGTGTGCTTGCCCAGACACACGTGTGTCAGAGACCTAGGACCTGCAGCCCCCAATACACATCAGCCACCCCACATTAACCCAAGGCATCACCAGCCAGCCAGGAGGACTTGGGAAGCCAAGTGGAGGTGGACAGTGGCCACAGAGCAAAGGCCTTCAGTGGATACCATCCGACATGAAGAGCCATGGGGCCTGCTGTGTCCACACACACACACAGGGGACACATATCTGTGCACCACCACCCCTATTCCTACACACCCATCCCTGGGGCTCTAGGAGATGAGACCCCTCCTTCCAAACCAGGCCCTCCCTGAAGACCCAGAGATGGCCCAGGAGTCCCCATGCCCGAGTGACCCATTGCTTAGATCCACGAAAAAGAAAAGGAGCTTTGTATCTGAGGAATATGACTCCCTTTAGTTATCAGGCCCAGAGAGGCACTGGAATGAGACAGCAGTCACATCTCACTCCCACTTGAGCTAAAGACCTCGTGAAGCCACTTGCTCTGTGGGTTCCACGCTGACGCCAGTCGACATAAAAAGCCACATGCTGGACCCTGTAACTCTTACCCTGTCGTGCAACACTGTCTAGCCCATCACCAAGGTTCTCTCTGGAAAGCAGTCAGAATTCCTGCTGGCATCATGTCAGCCCACTCCCTGTCCCCTTCAGTCTTGAAACACTTCCCGGTAATAAGGCGGAATGGAGCACTCCCAGGACACCTTGGCGACCTGGGAGCTCTCTCAGCCTTGACCCAGACAACCTCGCTATATGGATTGTGGTTCCGTTTCTTTCTTTAGGTTGACATCCACATTAGGGGGGCGGTGTTGCTGGGCTGAGGGGGCTGGTTCAGGTTGGGCGTTGCACCGAGGGTGGGAGAAGGGGCCTTCCTACATCAGCAGCGGACAAGGCAGAGGAGCAGGTGTCCGAACTCAGGCCTGGCCCGCTTCTGCTGTGGCTCATGGCGTCCACCCCACCTGGCAGACCTAAAAGGAGCTGGCAACAGGGTGCCCAGCTGGCCACAGCACTTATCACGTGGGGCTGCCCTGTATAGGCCCCAGTCCTCACAGATGCCCTGCATGGACTGGGGGACTGAGGTCAGGGACACTGGTGAAAATCTTCAGGCATCTTCACCCAGCTGCTTATCCCACGCACAACCTCTGGGGGAGGGGACAGTGACCAGGCACAGCCCCAGTTGGCTCTTTGCCACTCGCTGCAGGCTCAGCTACCACAAGCTTGAGTCCCACCTCCAGCTCCTGCCACTCTGAAGGGCCCAGCACATGACCAGCTCTGGGTTGTGGCCCACACTCCACGGCAGTGGCCTGGCTGCTTGTTGTCACTTTATTCACTTCTGGTTTCTGGCTGGAAGGCATCACAAAGACAAAGGGTGCAGGGGAGCCAATCCTGCCAGGGACTGAAGAAACAGACCCTGGGGAAACCAGAGACCACGGGGGCACTTCAGGGGGACCCCAGTTAGCTCAACGCACCCTCCTCCCCATAGCCAATCACTAACCAGTGTTCTCTCTGGAAACCAGTCATAATTTCTGACCCGGTCAAAGCAGGGTCATCTCACAGAGCCCAGACACCCCACAGGCAGCTAAAGAGTGCCTGGTGAAATGCAAGTCTGATCGTGTCTGTGTCCCCAAGCACTCTCGTGTCCCCTGGTGCTCTCTGGACAAGCCCCCAGCAGCCTCTGCAATGCGCACCCCCTGCCCTTCTCTCCCGCGCTGGCTGGCTTCCGCAGCCTGGCCACACTGGTCCTCATGTCCATCCACCTGACCCGGCTCTGGTAGGGCCTTTGCTGGAGCCGTTCCTCCACTCGAACCCCTCCTGTTAAAGCCTGTTCGGTGCTGGTTGCCGGTTCGGCCACAGACACCAGAACCCCCACCAGCCCCGGCCCAGCAGCTGGTCCGAGTAGCCAGGAGAGCGCAGTCTGGGCTCAGGGTTCGGGCTCGAGGCCTGGCAGTCCCGGGCGACAACGGCAGGTCCAGATGGGGACTCCGGCTCCGACTGTCCCAGCCCAGAGGCTCTAAGGTGGTCCTGTCAGTCTCATCCCCGGGGGCGCCACTGCTTGCCCCGGACGGTGCCTTAGACCCAGGTCCTGTGGGCTCTGGCCTCCGACGCACCGGCGCGGAGCCCGGACCTCAGTCAGCACGGACTCAGCAAGGGCCTCTGGGATTCTCCGAAGTCCTGCGATATCCAGGCGAGGGAGTGTCGCCTGTAAGTTCCGGCAGGGAGCACACAGGTGCAAGCCCGGACAAAGCGAAACCCTCCTCAGGGTCTCCGCGGAGGGACTGGGCACGCCTCCTTCTGAATGACGCAGGGGGCGGGGCGCGCGGCGGGGAGGGAGGGGCTGGCGGGCGAACTGTCGTAAAAGGGGCGGGGACGTGCCGCGCCTGTGACTGTCGTAAAAGGGGCGGGGCGTGCCGCGCTCGGGATGAAGTTGGGGGCGTGCGTCGCTGAAGCAGGCGGCTAGCGGGCGCCCGGGTTATGGACCGCTACGCGGGCTCCTTGGAGGAGGTGGCGGACGGTACGCGGCAGCAAGAGCGACACTACCAGCTGCTGTCGGCGCTGCAGAGCCTGGTGAAGGAGTTGCCCAGGTACGCGGGCGGGGCGGGCGGCGGCCTGCGAAGCCGGCCCCGGCTCCGCAGACGCTCACCGCGCACCCCCTGCCCGCAGCTCCTTCCAGCAGCGCCTGTCCTACACCACGCTCAGCGACCTGGCCCTGGCGCTTCTCGACGGCACCGTGTTCGAAATCGTGCAGGGGCTACTGGAGATCCAGCACCTCACCGAAAAGAGCCTGTACAACCAGCGCCTACGTCTACAGAACGAGCACCGAGGTGGGCGGGGGCGGCGGGACGAGGCGCCTCCTCCTCCGGGTCGGCAGGTCCCGGCCGCTCTTGGTATCTGTGCAGATCGGCTCCTTCCCTGGGAGTGTTCGGAAGGGGTCCCTTAGATTGACAGAATCAAGGGCGCGGAGACTGAGCGCCTTTTTGGTGACCGGCGGGTCCAAACGGTTTTGTTTTCAGTTGCGCAGCCCCCTTAGCAGAAACTGCCTGCTCGGGCTGTCCTGTGCCCCACCCCTTCCAAGCAGGATGGCCCTAGGCCTCGATGCTTGGTTGGCCTGGCGCGGACTGCGTTGCCCCTCAGTAGGTGAAGGTCTGTTGACAGCTGTGCAGCGCTCTTTGGGGTCCGCTCCCTCTCACGTCTCGTAGGGCCTCATACCAGTTGCACTTCAAATTCCTAAGCACTGTCCCCTGTGACACCCTCGCAAACCCGAAGAATTTCCCACTTGAGCCGCA